TCTTGTAACAAATTATATTGTAACTGTCATGTCCGCCTTCATTGTGTACAGCGCTGCGCACACTGTTGGCACCATATAAATCCTGTATAAAAAATAATATTCTTCATTTTGCTTCCAAGGAAAGAATGAGAGCGGAGGTCACATAACGTGAACAAAGTATCGCCATAAATTCGTCCGGTCACAAGTGCTGCACCTTCGTTCTCTCCACAGGCTGGAAGACATGACGGGACGGGCTAGTCAGTGACTTCATCGCGTCTTCTCTTCAGCGCAGCATCCTATATCACAATCAGTGAATGTATTATCTTTATTGTCTACAGAGGACCCAAATACAGTAAAGGATTCGATGTGGAGGTGTTTAGGGTGCAAACAAGGAGAACGGAACGCTAAAAAAAAAAATGTTTTATTTGATTTCTTCTCTCATATTTCTGTCATTATATCGGATATAAAGGGTTTATCATCTTCCATGTTCAGTGTGTTCAGTTATGCAGGCCATACACAGGTCAATTTCTGAACGAATTTTCTTTAGGAAATCGGAAATTTTGTGCATTTTGTAATCCGTTGGCGCCATCATTGATTTGGAAGTTCGACCAACCAAGCCTTCCATTTCACCTCCTGTAGCTAAAGGAAAGAGTTTTGGTGGTTGGGAATCTTTTTTTTTCTTTCCGATTACATTTCTCGCATGATTCTCCCATCATTGATTGGACATTTGTTCGTTTTCCACAAATTTCCAACATCACCCAAATTTGATGGCTGCGCAAAAATCGGCTGACGCTGCGGCCCCACTAATGGTGCGAATTCAAACAAAAATTGTTAGTTACGATTTTCAAAAGAAAATTATTTTGGAATTTGACCCATGTGTGCACAGTGGCTAAAAGGTTAGCACTTCTGCCTGGCAGTACTCGGGTTGTTGGTTAAAATCCCAGCCATGGCGCCACCTGCCTGGAGTTTGCATGTTTTCCCTGTGCCTGTATGGGTTTCCTCCAGGTACTCCGGTTATCTCCCACACTCCCAAGACATGCTGGGAGGTAAATTGGATCCTGTCTAAATTGGCCCCAGTATGTGTATGTATGAATGTAAGTTGGGGACATTAGATTGTATGCTCCTCGGGGGTGGGGACTGATGTGAATGTACAATATATATGTAAAGCGCTGCATAAATTGACGGAGCTATATAAGTACCTGAAATAAATAAATAAAATGTGTGGCCTACATTAAACTTTGAATATAAAAGATAGAAGCTGAGTGGTTGGCTGCTCCAGATTCTGACTGCTCCAGTTTTTGTAAATCCCCGCCCCCCCTCCAGGGTCTTGTGATGAGTCCCTGTCATGCATGGCTTGATGTGCAATTTAAGGAATACACATATGAGGATCCGGGGTGGTGACCTAGACTGACCTATCGCTCCACAGAGCCAAGTTTCATACCTTTTCTATAATTCTTACTATAATGGGGTTACCTTTCTAAGTTGTGGTTACATCAATGTAGAAGACACCAAACATATCTACATTGCACAGTCCAGACCGCTAATAAGAAACATTAGACTTCCTAGGAGAAAACATTTTATATATTACACTATTTGGCCCCAAGTATTGGGCTTTTAGTTCCAGGGTTCACACATGACCCCGCCCTTTAATGACCTCGCAGTCTTAGTCCATAGGGTGACCTTTAATGGCCCCCCAGTCAATATTGAGTTGGCCCCGCCCTTTGCAGCTATAACAGCTTCAACTCTTCTGGGAAGGCCGTCCACAAGGTTTAGGAGGGTGTCTATGGGAAGGTTGGACCATTCTTCCAGAAGCACATTTGTCAGGTCAGGCACTGATGTCGGGGGAGGGGCAGGTCTGGCCTGGCTCGCAGTCTCCGCTCTAATTTATCCCAAAGGTGTTCTATGGGGTTGAGGTCAGGACTCTGTGCAGGACAGTCAAGTTCCTCCACCCCAAACTGGCTCCTCCATGTCTTTATGGACCTTGCTTTGTGCACTGGTGGGCAGTCATGTTGGAACAGGAAGGGGCCATCCCCAAGCTCTTCCCACAAAGTTGGGAGCATGAAATTGTCCAAAATGTCGCCTTAAGAGTTCCCTTCACTGGAACTAGGGGGCCAACCCAACCCCTGAGGAACATCCCCACACCATAATTCCCCCTCCACCAAACTTTACACTTGGCACAATGCAGTCAGGCAAGTACCGTTCTCCTGGCAACAGCCAAACCCAGACACGTCCATCGGATTGCCAGACAGAGAAGCGTGATTGGTCCCTCCAGAGAACACGTCTCCATGCTCTAGAGTCCAGTGGCGGCGTGCTTTACACCACGGCATCTGACGCTTTGCATTGCACTTGGTGATGGAAGGCTTGGATGCAGCTGCTCGGCCATGGAAACCCTTTCCATGACGCTCTCTACGCACTGTTGTTGGGCTCATCTGAAGGCCACACCAAGTTTGGAGGTCTTTAGCTATTGACTCTGCAGACAGTTGGTGACTTCTGCGCACTGTGCGCTTCAGCATGCACTGACCCCGCCCTGTCATGTGACGTGGCCTACCACTTGGTGGCTGAGTGGCTGTTTTTCCCAGTGGCTTCCACTTTGTTATAATCCCACTAACAGTTGAGCGTGGAATATTTAGTAGCCAGGAAATGTCCCGGATGGACTTATTGCCCAGGTGGCCACCTATCACGGGACCACGCTTGGAGTCACTGAGCTCCTGAGAGCGACCCATTCTTTCACCAATGTTTGTAGAAGCCGTCTGCATGCCTAGGGGATGATTGTATACACCTATGTCCATGGAGGGGATTGGAACACCTGAATCACATGATATGGAAGGGATTGGAACACCTGAATCACATGATTGGGAGGGGATTGGAACACCTGAATCACATGATTGGGAGGGGATTGGAACACCTGAATCACATGATATGGAGGGGATTGGAACACCCGAATTATTATTATACAGTATTTATAAAGCGCCAATAGTTCGCTCAGCGCTGTACACTACAATGGGAGACAGTACAATAACAATACAGTGCGATACACGAGGGGTTTGAGGGCCCTGCTCCTTGGAGCTTACAGAATCACATGATATGGAGAGGATTGGAACACCTGAATCACATGATATGGAGGGGATTGGAACACCTGAATCACATGATTGGGAGGGGATTGGAACACCTGAATCACATGATTGGGAGGGGATTGGAACACCTGAATCACATGATATGGAGGGGATTGGAACACCTGAATCACATGATTGGAGGGTATTAGAGCACCTGAATCACATGATTGGAGGGGATTGGACAACCTGAATCACATGATTGGAGGGTATTAGAGCACCTGAATCACATGATTGGAGGGGATTGGAGCACCTGAATCACATGATTGGAGAGGATTGGAACACCTGAATCACATGATATGGAGAGGATTGGAACACCTGAATCACATGATATGAGGGGATTGGAACACCTGAATCACATGATTTGAAGGGCGGGCCCAATACTTTTGGCAATATAGTATATATATGTGTGTGTGTGAATATATATATATATATAAATCACATTTGGTATCTAACAAATTTTATTCTGCTAAATGATGTTTTTCAAATTTTACAAAAATGTAACACCTTATCACATTGAATACAGATGTTCCCGGGATAAATGGCATTAAGGGGATGTTCGTTGGACATTAAACACCCCAACACACCGACTACAGAGACCTTGTAATTGGGTGGGGTGGTTCTGTTGCACCTCACATTTTGAATGACAATTGCGCGGTCATGCAACACTGTACCCATATGAAATTTTTATCATTTATTTTACATAAATAGAGCTTTCTTTTGGAGGTCTGTACTCCCCGCTGGGGGTTTTATTTTTTGCGCTATAAACAAAAAAAGAGCAAAAAAATTAAAAAAAAAACGATTTTCTTTGTTTCTATTATAGAATTTTGCAAACAGGTCATTTTTCTCCTTCACTGATGTGCGTTGATGAGGCTGCACTGATAGACGGCACTGATAGATGGCACTGATAGGCAGCACTAATAGGCAGCACTGATGGGCACTGATAGGCAGCACTGATGGGCATCAATGACAGGCATCACTGATGAGCACTGATAGGCAGCACTGATGAGGTGGCACTGTTGAGGCAGCAGTGATATGCAACAATGATGGGCACTGATAGGCAGCACTGATAGGCAGCACTGATGAGCACTGATGGCAGCACTGATGAGTGGTACTGACTGACGGCACTGACTAGCAGCACTGCTGGGCACTGATTGGTGGCACTGCTGGGCAGTACTGATGGGTGGCACTTATGGGAGGGCACTGCTAGGCACTGATTGGTTGCAGTGCTGGGCACCGTTGGGCAGCACTGATGGGTGGCACTGACGGTAGGGCACTGCTGTGCACAGGAGGGGGGCGCTGCTGGACACTGATCATCAGTGCCCTGATGATCGGTGCCAATCCATCGGCTGACAATTGCCGGTCATCGGCAGTGCTGTCCTCATGCTGTGACAGTGCGAGGAAAGTGCAGCCGATAACCGGCGACTGCATTTACCCAGTGATCTCCTGTGTCATTGGACACGGCTGATCAGGTGGTATAAGGCCGCTGCGATTGGCCTTTTACCACATCACGTGATCAGTTGTGTGTATAGGACACAGCGATCACAGAGATCGCAGGATGCACGCCCCCGGGGGCGCACAGGAGGGCGCGTTCTGGGAGGATGTTATTTGATGCCCTCCCAGAACTGGACCACCGCGCCGTCATTCAGATATAGCGCGGTCGCCAAGTCGTTAAAGAATTTTTGGTAAAACGATGTTGGGTTAAACCGAGGAGTGCATTTCTACCACTAATAGTCCTTTATACTGGCTCTTGAAGTGTACAAATCCAACAATTTAGAAATTGGAGGACAGGTTTAGCGCGGGGAAACACTCTGTGATAGCTAAGATGTGCATTTTATATACAACTATACAGATCAGACCGAAATGAGGGACAAACGAGGAGGAAAGAGGGACAGAGGGACTTTGGGAACAAAGGGCGGACTGACCATTTGGAAACTCGGGCACTGCCCGAGGGCCCGGGGTCAGTAGGGGGCCCCATGAGATGCCCCTGGTACCTTTTTCATAGGCTTTTTTGAGTTTGGGCAAGGACACAGGGGCCCCATGATCCCCTATTGCCCGGGGGCCCCATGAGTTGTCAGTCCGCCCCTGGTTCGGAATGAGGGACAGTCCCTCGAAATCAGGGAGAGTTGGGAGCCTTGGCTTGTCTCTGTGTGTGATATGTTTCTGTAAACATTTCCCGCACATTTCTTCTTTTCTAAAACAACAGATAGAAGCCGCTAAGCTGAACCTCTGAATACTCTAATTAGAACTTCTCTGTGAAGAATCCACCGTTGTCTATACTCTGTCTCATTCCTGTCTGGTTGTGGCAGCGAGAGGTACAGACATCTTCCAAAGGTCAGAATTACACAACACATGCTGGCAATGGTGCGTGCTTCAAATAAAACACATGGCGGGGGCTACTGTGTGTATGTAAAGGGTTATCAATGAGGGTCACTCTCAGTCTGTTGTCCTGCAAACTGGAAAATCGTTGCCCAGGGTGCAATTGAAACACATCCTGCCCTCCTCCCTCATCCCCAGCAATCCCCCTACAGGACCGCTCTCCTCCCTATTATCACTTTCTGGAATTTTAGCAGTCAGGGGCGGAATTGTGGCAGTCAGGGGCGGACTGACCATTGGGGAACTCAGGCACTGCCGAGGGCCCTGGGTCAGTAGGGGGCCCCACGAGATGTCCCTGGTACCTTTCATAGGCTTTTTTTGGGTGTGGTTTGACTGTGGGCGAGGACACAGGGGCCCCATGATCCCCTATTGCCCGGGGGCCCCATGAGTTGTCAGTCTGCCCCTGGTGGCAGTGTGTCCCCATTGGAATATTTCCCCTCTATTCTTGTTCTGGTGACAACTGTGAATTTTGGATTTAAAGCCACTTCTGCCAGCGGGTGCCTGGGCTCCGTGTCATCACTGGGTCACAATGCGGACATGGCGGTGCAGATAATTCCCGCTGGAACGTCCCTCTGTGAGTGGAAGGAATTCGGCGCTCTACGCCATTCCACAAACCTGAGAACACAAATGGCGGCCCCGTGTCCGAGAGGAATCACAAAACCCTCTAATGAGGAATGTTCACAGGTCGGCCTCGCTCCTCTACAGACACACTTCTCCAGCCAAAGACGACACGCGCAGAAAATTCGAAAAACGCGGCAGCGAGGGCGCTGGGTGCGCGACCACATAAATCAGCGTTTGGGAGGGTCTCTCCTCGCTGGGTATAATTGTGCCTTAGTTCCCCTCTAATGATTTATTGAGGGAAATATTCTGCGCAGTTCAACAGCTACTGCTTCAAAGTCGCCCGCACAGACCCTCCATTATTCCAGGTGAAGGCGCTGCAGCCGGCTCGGGTTTGGCACGCTCTGCGCTCCGAGGGCCTTCCAGGAGTTCAATGTACATGGAGCCCATTGAGGGCGGCTGAGTGGTGCCAGAGAGGCCAACAAAGACCCTCACATGGCCAGATCCACAAAGAGCAGCCCAGGAAACACAACCAGGGAACAGGAATTTCCAAGCCGGGGAAAACGCTGAATTCACAGCTCCCTACAGACAGAGAGGAGGATGGAGAGAGAGGAGGATGGAAAGACAAGAAGGAGGACAGACAGACAGACAGACAGGAGAGGGGATGGAGAGAGAGGAGGAGGACGGACAGAGAGGAGGACAGACAGAGAGGAGGACAGACAGAGACGGACAGAGAGGAGGACGGACAGAGAGGAGGACAGACAGAGAGGAGGACAGAGACAGAGAGGAAGATGGACAGAGAGGAGGACGGAAAGAGAGCAGGACAGGCAGACAGAGAGGAGGATGGAAGGAGAGAGAGGAGGATGGAGAGAGAGGAGGACGGACAGAGAGGAGGACGGACAGAGAGGAGGACGGACAAGAGAGGAGGACGGACAGACAGAGAAGAGGACGGAAAGAGAGAGGACAGACAGACAGAGAAGAGGACGGACAGAGAGGAGGACGGACAGAGAGGAGGATGGAAAGAGAGGAGGACGGACAGAGAGGAGGACGGACAGAGAGGAGGATGGAAAGAGAGGAGGACAGACAGAGAGGAGGACGGACAGAGAGAGGAAAGACAGACAGAGAAGAGGACGGACAGAGAGGAGGACGGACAGAGAGGAGCATGGAAAAAAGAGGAGGAAAACAGAAGAGAGAGGAGGAATGGAGAGAGAGGAGGACGGAGAGAGGAGGAAACAGAGAGGAGGACGGAAAGAGAGGAGGACGGACAGAGAGGAGGACGGACAGAGAGGAGGACGGAAAGAGAGGAGGAAGGACAGAAGAGGAGGACGGAAAGAGAAGAAGGAGAGAAAGAGAGAAGAGAAGAAGGAAGGAAAGAGAGGAGGACGGAAAGAGAGAGGAAAGAGAGAGGAGACAGGAGAGAGAGGACGGACAGAGAGGAGGAAAAAAGAGAGGAGGACGGACAGAGAGGAGGACGGACAGAGAGGAGGACAGACAACAGAGAAAAAGGACGGACAGAGAGGAGGACGGAAAGAGAGGAGGAGAAAGGAAAAGAGGAGGAAAAAAAGACAGAGAGGAAAGACGGAGAGAGAGGAGGATGGACAGACAGAGAGAGGAGGACGGAAAGAAAAGAGAGGAGGACGGACAGAGAGGAGGACAGACAGACAGAGAGGAGACGGACAAGAGGAGGACAGAAAAGAGAGGACGGACAGAGGAGGAGAGAGGAGGACGGAGAAGAGAAAACGGAAGAAGGAGGACGGAAAGAGAGGAGGACAGACAGACAGAGAAGGAGGAGGACAAGAAAGAGGAGGACAGACAGAGAGGAGGACAGACAGAGAGGAGGACAGACAGACAGACAGAGAGGACAGACAGACAGAAGACAGAGAGGAGGACAGACAGACAGACAGAGAGGACAGAAAAGACAGACAGACAGGACAGACAGACAGACAGACAGAGAGAGGAGGACGGACAGAGAGGAGGACGGACAGAGAGGAGGACAGACAGAGAGAGAGACAGACAGACAGACAGAGAGGAGGACGGACAGAGAGGAGGAAGACAGACAGAGGAGGACAGACAGACAGACAGAGAGGAGGACAGAACAGACAGACAGACAGACAGAGACAGAGAGAGGAGGACTGTAACGATTATTTATTATTTTCTCCAATTTAGAAACATTGTCACCAATTGTAATATTTTCTGCCCCCATCACACCTGATTGTCATTTACATCCTCCCCTTCAGTCTTGCACAGGTCTACTGGCTCCTCCCCTTCAGTCTTGCACAGGTGTACTGGCTCCTCCCCTTCAGTCATGCACAGGTGTACCGGCTCCTCTCCCTTCAGTCTTGCACAGATGTACCGGCTCCTCCCCTTCAGTCTTGCACAGGTGTACCGGCTCCTCCCCTTCTGTCTTGCACAGGTGTCCTGGCTCCTCCCCTTCAGTCTTGCACAGGTGTACCGGCTCCTCCCCTTCAGTCTTGCACAGGTGTACCGGCTCCTCCCCTTCAGTCTTGCACAGGTGTACCGGCTCCTCCCCTTCAGTCTTGCACAGGTGTACCGGCTCTTCCCCTTCAGTCTTGCACAGGTGTACCGGCTCCTCCCCTTCTGTCTTGCACAGGTGTACCGGCTCCTCCCCTTCTGTCTTGCACAGGTGTCCTGGCTCCTCCCCTTCAGTCTTGCACAGGTGTACCGGCTCCTCCCCTTCAGTCTTGCACAGGTGTACCGGCTCCTCCCCTTCAGTCTTGCACAGGTGTACTGGCTCCTCCCCTCCAGTCTTGCACAGGTGTACTGGCTCCTCCCCTCCAGTCTTGCACAGGTGTACCGGCTCCTCCTCTCTTTAGTCTTGCACAGGTGTACTGGCTCCTCCCCTCCAGTCTTGCACAGGTGTACCGGCTCCTCCCCTTCAGTCTTGCACAGGTGTACCGGCTCTTCCCCTTCAGTCTTGCACAGGTGTACCGGCTCCTCCCCTTCTGTCTTGCACAGGTGTCCTGGCTCCTCCCCTTCAGTCTTGCACAGGTGTACCGGCTCCTCCCCTTCTGTCTTGCACAGGTGTCCTGGCTCCTCCCCTTCAGTCTTGCACAGGTGGACCGGCTCCTCCCCTTCAGTCTTGCACAGGTGTACCGGCTCCTCCCCTTCAGTCTTGCACAGGTGTACCGGACTCCTCCCCTTCAGTCTTGCACCGGTGTACTGGCTCCTCCCCTCCAGTCTTGCACAGGTGTACCGGCTCCTCCCCTTCTGTCTTGCACAGGTGTCCTGGCTCCTCCCCTCCAGTCTTGCACAGGTGTACCGGCTCTTCCCCTTCAGTCTTGCATAGGTGTACCGGCTCCTCCCCTTCTGTCTTGCACAGGTGTACCGGCTCCTCCCCTTCTGTCTTGCACAGGTGTCCTGGCTCCTCCCCTTCAGTCTTGCACAGGTGTACCGGCTCCTCCCCTTCAGTCTTGCACAGGTGTACCGGCTCCTCCCCTTCAGTCTTGCACAGGTGTACTGCTCCTCCCCTTCAGTCTTGCACAGGTGTACTGGCTCCTCCCCTCCAGTCTTGCACAGGTGTACCGGCTCTTCCCCTTCAGTCTTGCACAGGTGTACCGGCTCCTCCCCTTCTGTCTTGCACAGGTGTCCTGGCTCCTCCCCTTCAGTCTTGCACAGGTGTACCGGCTCCTCCCCTTCTGTCTTGCACAGGTGTCCTGGAGAGCCTCCCCTTCAGTCTTGCACAGGTGTACCGGCTCCTCCCCTTCAGTCTTGCACAGGTGTACCGGCTCCTCCCCTTCAGTCTTGCACAGGTGTACCGGCTCCTCCCCTTCAGTCTTGCACAGGTGTACTGGCTCCTCCCCTCCAGTCTTGCACAGGTGTACCGGCTCCTCCTCTTTAGTCTTGCAGAGGTGTACCGGCTCCTCCCCTTTAATCTTGCACAGGTGCACTGGCTCCTCCCCTCCAGTCTTGCATAGGCTTACTAGCTCCTCCCCTTCAGTCTTGCACATGTATCTAGGCTCCTCCCCTTCAGTCATGCACAGTTGTACCAGCTCCTCCCCTTCAGTCTTCCACAGGTACACTGGCTCCTCCCCTTCAATCTTACACTGGTGTACTGGCTCCTCCCTTTCAGTATTGCACTGGTGTACTGGCTCCTCCCCTTTCATCTTGCACAGGTGCACCGGCTCCTCCCCTCCAGTCTTGCACAGGTATACTAGCTCCTTCCCTTCAGTCATGCACAGTTGTACCGGCTCCTCCCCTTCAGTCTTCCACAGGTACACTGGCTCCTCCCCTTCACTCTTACACTGGCTCCTTACACTGGCTCCTCCCCTTCAGTCTTGCACTGTTGTACTGGCTCCTCCCCTTCAGTCTTGCACAGGTGTATTGGCTCCTCCCCTCCAGTCTTGCACAGGTGTGTAACGGCTCCTCCCCTTCAGTCTTGCACAGGTATACAGGCTCCTCCTTCAGTCTTGCACAGGTGCACAGGCTCCTCCCTTTCAGTCTTGTACAGGTGCACAGGCTCCTCCCTTTCAGTCTTGCACAGGTGTTCCGGCTCCTCCCCTTCAGTCTTGCACTGGTGTATCAGCTCCTCGTTTAGTTTTGCACTGGTTTACTGGCTCCTCCCCTTCAGCCATGCACAGGTGTCCTAACTCCTCCCTTTCAGTCTTGCATAGGTGTACGGCTCCTCCCCTTCAGTCTTGCACAGGTGTACCGGCCCCCCCTCCCCTTCAGCCTTGCACAGGTGTACTGGCTCCTCCCCTTCAGTCTTGCACAGGGTGTACCGGCTCCTCCCCTTCAGTCTTGCACAGGTGTACTGGCTCCTCCCCTTCAGTCTTGCACAGTGTACCGGCTCCTCCCCTTCAGTCTTGCA